ACGTGCAGTTATCTGTCCCTCCGCATATAATTAGGTTAATGTATTGTCACGGCTTTCATGCACGGTTTACGGCACTTTTATGGTAGTTGGAATGTTGAACATTATGCAACTGGTATATACATATACAAAAACGAAATACGTATTTTTTTTTACACACCCCATCAGCCACAATGCCTTCCGAGAGTGCGTCGTTTTAAGCGGCATTATCGGTTCAGCACAAGCAAACTTCTGGACCGGTTTCGACACGCGGTGTCTCATCAGCAGAGCGAGGCCTGCTTGAACCGATGCTGGTGAACTGACAGTGCTGATGAGCGTTGCCCCCCCCCCCCCCGTACACACTGAACCACGGGGACTGTTGCACTGTACACTAATTAACATCGTGATAACAAAGGTCGCTGTGTTGTGTAAAATATGCCCGAAGGGAGGAGAGCCAACTTGGTCATCGCAACGATGCCTGGGACTCTTGGCTCTGAAACAGTTTGCGAGCTCGTGATATGGGTGATGTCATATGCTGTGAAGAAGGGCCATTGCCCGAAACGTCGCCTGCTACTAATATTATATCATGGGACTTTTTTGCCAGTATCAAAGTATGAAAAATGAGAATAGGCCAATCAGAGGTTGTTCGCATGTTCACAAGTAAGCGTGGTTAATGCAGGAACTTGATTCCTTGCAAAAAGGTTTTTTTTTGGTGTTCGAACATCTTAACACCTGCTTTATTGCCAGAAAGGTTAAAACGTATTTATCACATTATTGTGATTGTATACATTTACTTTTAAGGCCACGGCGTTTATGACGAAGATGTTGAGTGGGTGTGTTTTTTTGTCACGAGTGATGTCAGTTCCGTTGACAATGGGTATCACACACAGCAGAAATCATTGCCCCCTTCCACTACTAAAAGTTGGCAGGACCCTCCTGAAGATGACTCGTGAGACTCAGGGGGACGGTCCTGAGTAAACAAGTACAATAAAATAATACAAAAACATCATAATTGATGCATTTGATTTAAATGTCACAGCGGCCTGGCAATTACTGCAGCTGTTTCATAATAATCATCATCATCATCGGCCACGCTCAATCCACTGCTTGGTGAAGGCCTCCACAAGCCACCACCACCACCTCTCGTGAGACGCAACAGTCCACCCGGTACCTGCGCATGGACTGATTTCATTGCTCGTCGTAAAATTCCATCGAATTAAAGGGGTGCCTCGGTGGCTATGAGATGTTAACTCCCTCGCCTGGTGTGTACGTGAGGTCGTGGGTTCGATCCAAACCTTGACGCCTGCTGTATATTTGGAGTTTGCATGTCTCTCTTCCCCGTGGTCGCCCGGATTTTTTCTCCGGATGCTCCGGTCCCCCCTCCCCACCCACATTTATAATGAATGTGCGTTCAGAGTATTTGGCTGATATAAATTTCCACATGATAAGCCACTTCATTGAGCGATCGCTTGTGGCCCGGTCGCTTCTGACAAAGAGCTACAGTTTTAATGATCGTGTAAAGTTATTTCTGAAAGTTGAACATTGTGGCCACTTTCTCATGCCCGAGTCCCAACTTAAGAAGATAAAATGACCCACGACAACATTTTATCCACTTACTCAGAGCCCAAGGTCATTTATGTCCGTGGTATAGTGTGCGCATTGTACATTGCATAATTATATGTATTAAATATCAAGACTGAGACAAGAATGATAACCGCCACACGAATAAACACGATTTGTAAAATATTTGTTTATAGAAAAAGGTAAAGCATCTCAAAACAGGTTTTGCCTTCTTAAATACAGCACTGCACCCTAAACACGTGTGTGTGTAACATGAAGTTACATAAATACATTAACCTCCTTTCTGTCTTTCCAAGTCAAAATGAAATAACTGTTACTCTAGCAGCTTGTAGGCTTAGCAGGCCAATGTTGATCCAGTAGGGGTTGTTTTCTCAGGCAAACTGTGTACCGGTTTTAAACGTCTGGGCTGTTTCATGAATGTCATTAGCTGTGATGCTCATTCGAATCCAAGGCTTTTGTGCCACAGCGTGCTCGCTTGAAGTCCGAGATAAGCAATCCCCTCCCCCCCCGATGAATATTTGGAGTTTGCGTGTCTCTCTCCCCATGGTCGCGTGGATTTTTCTCTGGGTCCTCCGGTTTTTCCCTTCACATTTAGAATCAACATCACACGTTTGCTGCTCTGAATTATCCAACGCGACGATAAGCCACTTCGTCGAGCTAAAATTTGTGATGGCCAGGTCGCACAGCTCAGTGGGGCCTTGCCTGCTTAAAATAAAACAAACAAAAAAGTTTAATTTAAATAAATGGTTTTCGCAGTAGTGCTTATGTTGAACTTCTGTTCACTGCAGACGATGCATTTGAAAAGCAAAGGCAAAACACAGCAGAGTTTACCACAGCACACGAGCCCTACTGCTGCTGCTGCTGCTGCATGTGGCGTGTGTTCGTGGGGTAAGCGGTGGCGTAACAGTTAGCGCGCTGCGCCACGAGCTTTCGCGGACCCGGGTTCGATTCCTGCTCACGGCCACCGACACCAGTGACGATAATCTGAACCGGTCCTGGGCCTCCCCTGGGTCGACTCAGCCTCAAATGAGTAGTAAACATCGTCAGTGGGGAGACAAAGGTGGTCGGGCGTGGTGCCGGCCACACACCCCCTCGTGCGCCGTTCCAGCCTTCATAGGTGCTCGCTGACAGCACTTGCCCCAACAGTCTGTTAAGGCTATACGGGGTCTCTTTATTTGTGTGTGTGTGTGTGTGTTTAACGAGTCTGGGCGCTCGGGGTTTTTTGGGAGCTTCGGTTCAACTCTGAAGGACGACGTCGATGATGATGATGCAGTACTCCGTGAGAATGCCGGGCAGCATCGTGCGCGCGAGCGCTCATTTGGTGTCCGCTGACAAAGAGGCCGATTGTTTGGAGCAACGCCGGCCCGTGTTGTATCAGCAGCAGTAGCAGGAGCCACAACCAGCAGCACTCAGGGCACTCACGAGGGCCGGCTGTCTGTCTATCGGTCGACGCAGATGGAAAACAATCGTACTCGCTCAGCCCCGCGACAAGAAAACACTGTACAGTGCAGAATGATAACATCGCAAAGCTTTGCTCAAGTTGCCCGTTCAAAAGAACGGAGGATTCCCATCATAGCCTCGTCTTTGATTAATGCCGGTGTGGTCAGAACCATGCCCGTCTGCTTTTGTCTGTCTGTTAAGGCGATCACTTTAATCCGAGTGAATTCATGGGATGCCCACAACAATCCCCGACACCACAGAGACATCGAGCTTGATACCCAGCCGCGGCTAACGTCACCAGACCGCAACCGACCAGCGCGGTGAAGTACGGTCAAGCGACACCCTTGACCGACGCGCCGTCAGGGAGGCCCTCGTCTAGCAGTGGAGCGACTGTGAGATTTACATGCGCTCTCTACGGTCCTCCGCTTCTGTTTTGTGTTCGTGCACGTATGGAATACTGTATTTGTAATTGAATGCTGTGTCCCCCCAAGGGGTGGTTTCAATGTGGCAGTTTAAATACACTCTGCGGTAATTATTGGCACACCGTGCGTATTTCCACGCGCGCAAACACACATGCACGCATTGAGAATAAACATATCGAGTTGGGTGTGCGTACGCGTTCACTAAAGTAAGCGCGGGGCTTGGGCAGGACGCTGGTCGCTAGAAGGGGACAATGGGAGATGGTCAATGACGAAGATGGAGTGGCAGCCAGGGGATGGGACACGTCCAGATGGGGCGGCCGCCGAGGGGATGGACCTATGAAATCCTAACGTGTGCATGCGCTAGCTGGCCGGGCGGATTCCTGTGATACATCGCAGGACCGTGCATACGTTACGTACGCACGTTGAACTTATTTTGCACCGTACGCAGCCAACCGTGCTAATTGGAGGTGCGGGGGAAGGACAGCAAACTAAACGAAAAAAGTTCCGAAGATATTAGTTTTTAATTTAGAAAGAGTTTTGCGACTGCTTGCAGAGACCTTCATCCAGTAGTGAATTGACCATGGCTGACGGTGTTCACGATGCCCGCTTGAGATGAGCGCCACCTCATGAGTGACATCACGACCTAATGAAGGAGATGCCATGAATGCCGCACCTCCGATTAGTGCGGTTGGCCACGTACGGTGCGAAATGAAGTGAAAAGTACATACATGCATACGACACTGATTATCGCATTAACTTGCGGCGGTGGAAGACACGCCCGTAGCCTGGCAATTAGGTGCAAAAGGACCTTGTGGAACCGTGTGGAACAGCGCGGCTTTGTGAATCTCCCGATCCACCACTGGGTTAGCTGCGAGGAAGCCAGGAGACAGCAGTACAGGCACTCCTCTACTTATGAACGAGTTAGGTTCCAGAGATCTGTTCGTAAGCCGATTTGTTCCTAAATCCAACTTTATTCCCGTCGATTCCAAACATGGTGTACGGCATGTACACTAAACACGGCGAATGGCTTCAAAAGTTGTATAATCTGCTGTAGACGTGGATGCCACTGGTTCTTCACGTTCTGCAGATGTAGATGCCACTGGTTCGTCACGTTCTGCAGATGTAGATGCCACTGGTTCTTCACGTTCTGCAGATGTAGATGCCACTGGTTCTTCACGTTCTGCAGATCTAGATGCCACTGGTTCTTCACGTTCTGCAGATGTAGATGCGCTTCACGTTCTGCAGATGTAGATGCCACTGGTTCTTCACGTTCTGCAGATCTAGATGCCACTGGTTCTTCACGTTCTGCAGATGTAGATGCCACCGCCGCCATCTATTGCGCGGCGGTTGAACTTACGACTCTCGGTCCGAACAGGCAACTGGACATACGGATCAGGTTTGTTCATATCTCTGAAAGTTTGTCAGTCGAATGTTCTTAATACATTTTTTTGGAGTGGGCGGCGCTGCCGGTTCAGTGGGCGTGGCTGTTGAGAACTCACTGGAGCCTGACACCCAAGCGTCCCGGCTGAGCCTCCCAACAAAAAATCCGGCGGCTGTTAACTTCGTTCCTTGACTTCTCAGGTTCGAACGCGACCCGACCAACTTCGGCTGCCAGGATGAATACGACCGCGGCGCCAGCTGGGGGTAACACCAGCGGAACCACAAGCAACGTTACGCTCCAGACAACCGCCGACCACGGCGCGGCGAGTTCGAGTTCCGCCCTGAGCACCACCTTACTGGACAACCTGACGTCAACGACGCTCAATGCAACCCAAGGTGTCACGGCGGGAGGAACCAAATCTCTGCTCAGTGACGGTACAGAAACTCAACGCCGCACTCGCAAATGTCGTACACTGTTAGGGCGAGCGCCGTTAGCGAGCACCTCTTAAGGCTGGCACGGCGGACGATGGGGTCGTTGTGGTGAGAACCACTCCTGGCTGTCATTGTCTCCCCACTACTGATGGCTAATACCCCACACTGAGTATTAATTTTACGGCTGAGTTGACCCTGTGGATACCCAGACCTGTTTATGATATCACTATCACTCCCCACTGATGTTGGCCTCGGCTGGGAATCCACTACAGGCCTCCTGGTTCGTAGTACAGCGCGCTAACTCGCTGCGCCACCGCTTGCCGCATGTAAACACACACGTACATATGTGACAGATATCTCTTTCATAGCGTGTGCAAACTTGGCGCACAAGTGCTGTTAGCAAGCACCTATTAAGTCCAGACACACACACAAATTAGGTTTGTGAGTATATCAGAGTGAGTGGCAATGCATGCAGAACCATCCACATTGATCTCTCCATTGTATGTATGTGTACTTGGGAACCGACACACTGATCAACATGTATGTGTAATACAGACATTTTGAACTTCTTTCGCACCGTGCGTAGCCAACTGTGCAAATTGGAGGTGCCGGGGGAAGGAAAGAAAACTAAACACAAGAAGCAGTTCTAAAGGAATGAAATGTCAATCTCGAATTGCCAATGTTGACTGCACCACAGCACCAGATGGGCTCCTCATTTTAGGCTGAGTTGATCTAGGGGGAACTATGACCAAATCGCCCAGAATGTGTCCAATCTCGTCAGATCTCGGTAGCTCTCGGTAGCTCAGCGGCGTTGAATCTGGATGACACTTGGATGGGCGACCGTTACCCTTGCACGTCGGGCTGTCACAGGCTGCTGCGGGGCTGAGCTGCGCGGTGGGCAGCAGCAGAGAGCAGTGGAGTGAAATCCATAGTTGTACTGTACCTCTATGCGCCCGCACGCCCAATCCTGGTGAAGTGCGGCCCGCACGGCGGGGAGGTGATTTGACCGTACCACGTCTAGCAGTGGATCGAGGAAAGTGCCCCAGCAAGGGGTTGCCGCTGGTGTACGCGCGGTCAGGACACTGGGTCTGGGTCAGTGGGAGCCGACGCAGCGCACAGATCAAAGCGCAGAGCCCGGAGCGCGCGCAATCACGCACACGAATGCTCGAGTTGATGTTAAAATGCTGAGACCACGCTTCATTAACAATGCGGTGTAATCAGCGAGACACACTGTCCCTGCAGCCATGGGCTACGGTCAGAATCAGAATATAATTATTTATACTGGAGGAATCCAGTGAGCCACGAAGCTCCTTTCCAGTGATGTTCAGCGGTTAGCAGCGTGGCTATGGAGTGTACAGGCGGTGCAACTGCACTAGGGCCCACAAGCCGGAGGGGCCCAGGTGCCCGGGAGGGGGGGGGGACGAAATTGGAGGAGGGGCCACCACATTTTCATTCATTCCTTGCAAAAGGGCCCATACCAACCATGCTACGCCACACTGCTATGGGAGAACCCGTTACCGTTTATGAACTGTTTTTATTTTACCAGGTAAGGCCTACTGAGCTATATGGCTTTTTCTCAGAAGCGACCTGCTCACAAATGATAGCTCAATGAAACGTGGAAATTTAGAGCAGCAATAATTCTCGAAACGCGTGTTGATTCTTATGGCGGACCCGGAGAAAAATCCATGCGACTGCAGGGAGAATATGCAAACTCCAAATATACAGCAGGTGTCAGGGTTGGAATTGAACCCACGACCTCCGTTATACCAGGCGAGGTAGTTAACATCTCACCACCGTGGTGCCCTACAGCCTTGAAGCTCTAGAGTCATTTAACATTTAACCATAAAGTTTAAAGTCTATGTGTGATTCCTAGAATATTGACTGAAAAGTTTATATATGTATTGATTTTGATACAATTATCGCCCTGTATCGATCCACTGCTGGATGAAAGCCTCCTCTTGGCGTGACCGTGAGAGTCAAGGAGGATGTTGTAGTCAGTGTGGGTTGGTGAAGGGGCGGCTCAGGGCTGGTTCGGATATCACTCGTTCATACGGTTTGGCTCCTGCCATAGGAATGTGGAATTTTCAGCACTGCCCATTTGAGCCGGGAGACACTGACATTCAGATGCGTTTCACAGCACTCCGGGGGTGTCTCTAACATCGAAACGGAACAGGAATCTCAGCATGCTGTGCATGTCGAGGTGACGTCGCGACCGTTGAGCACATTCTGCACATTGCCTTGTGCTGATGCCAACAAGTGCGTGGCATACTCAGTGGAGGCAGCACGAGGACACTGAGGGAACAACTGTATTCGACCGTTTTCACCCTAACCGGAGCAATCATTACGGTACAGTCACCGATAATCCACACGAAAACAAGAGACACGTTTTTGTATTTATATTTTCTTACGGTTGAGTCACCGAAAAGCCACACGAAACCAATAGACACGTTTACGTATTTAGATTTTCTTACGGTAGTCACCGATAATCCACATAAACCCAAGAGACACGTTTATGTATTTATATTTTCTTACGGTCGAGTCACATGTAAAATAATTATTGTGCTCAGAGAATCACTCAGCATGTCACTGAATGTATTTTTAATACCGCATTGAATTTAACATATATATTTTTGCCAGATTATTACGTCTCAAGATCGTGAGAGATGGCGTGGGCTAGGGGAGGCCCTCAGCCAGCAGTGAATAGATGATGGCTGATCTGCTGCTGATGACAAAGATGAATGGAATCTATTCCTCTGAATAATTATTCTCCGTTTACGTTGCTCAAGCAGATTGATTTTTAAAGCTGGGGTGGTTGGTGGGGGGGGGCACTCGGTGGTAGATTTTGGAAACAAAAGGGTTAATGAACACACGGTCTTTAAGGTGGAGTTGGAATGTGTGGAATGTGTGTGCGTGCGCCGGTGCACAACCACGTGTGCACACGCATACGTGTAGTAGGTCACTGTTGATGGTTTCCAGTGCCCAGCCTCCCCAAAAGCTAAGGGAGAATTCACACTTTATAATAATGCCGACCGAAAACGCAGTTCTGCGGCGCGGAGCCAGGCTCGGTGTCAGATCTGCGAGCTCGTGGGATGCGCCTTCTGGATGGTTTTCAAACGAAGAAAATGATTGATCACTACGTATGTGGATAGGGTCGGTGGCGTTCCAGATGACGGGGGCAGGGGGCTGCGAAGGAGAAACGACGAGAAGCAATTACAGTCCTTGTAATTGTTTCTCTACATGAACAATACATATAGCATTTGTTATTGCAGAAATGTGCTCAAGAATGTGTCTATATAAATAAAGACAAAGATTCTCCGTTAGCCTTAACAGACTCTTGGGGTAAGTGCTGTTCGCGAGCAGCACCTATGAAGGCCAACAACGGCACACGAGGGGGTGGGTGACCAGCACCACGCCCGGCCGCCTTTGTCTCCACAGCGGCGATGTTTACACACCGCACCAGGTACTCATTTGAGGCTGAGTCGACCTAGGGGAGTCCGAGCGCCGGTTCTGATAATTGTCACTTTTGTCGGCCATGAGCAGGAATCGAACCCGGGTCATTTGGTTTCGTAGCGCGGCGCGCTAACCACTACACTACCGCTCCCCCGCTATGTGTGTGTGTGTGTGTATATATGTATGTATACACACACACATACACGCGCGTACATATGCTTGTTTGCATAGACACGTGTGTCGTCAGCCCGTGCACCACCTTGGTAATTGATATCGGAATCTGTCCGAGGATTCCCCTGGCTGGTAAAAGGTAAGGGTGCAACCCTGCAATCGCTTGCTGGAGGGTGGCCTTCACTGGAGAGGGCATTTTTGGCCTACTCTTTCTCTGCTGGCGAGATGTCTTGGAAGTGGTTGGAGTACCGGCACTTTACCCCGCCGCACGCGACCAAGTCACTGTGGTCTGGCCCAATCATTACTTCTTGGTTGGACAGAGGTGGGGGTAATTTAAGAAACGTGTCAGTTGTTTTACTGGAAACTTCTGAATTGCAAATAAGAGTGTGCTGACCACAACACCGTGGCGGAGAGACGTTATCGCCCTCACTCGGTATACAAGAGGTTCTGGGTTCGGACCCTACCCTGACACCTGTATATTTGGAGTTTGCGTGTCTCTCTCCTTGCGGTTGCGTGAATTTTTCTCCAGGCCCTCCAGTTTTTCTCTCCACATGTAGAATCAATGTCACGCGTTTAGAGTAATTGGCTGCTCGAAATTTCCAGATGATAAGCCACTTCGTTGAGCTATCAATTGGGGCTGGGTCGCTTCCGATAAATAATATATATTCCTCATTGGGCCTTACCTGGTAAAATAAAATAGTTTATAGTTTTTAGTTTAAGCATATTTTTTCGGTTTAAATCTGTGCCTCCATTAGCTCGACTCCGCCCAAAATAAATAACCCGGTGCAGTGTTGCTGCCAACATCAGATCGGGGAAGACAACGGTGGTTGGAGCTGTCCACGCCATGAGTTCATGCACCATGGATGTGCTGCACGGTGCCCTCATGTGAGCTCGTGTTGTGCTGCGATTTGTTCGGCTCGATGTCCGACGTTTCGCTCCGCATTGTGGGAGCTTCTTACGCAGACTGACGCGCAACAATAGGTGCTCGCCAACAGCACTTTTCCTAAAACAGACACGAGTCCAGGCTATGTGTAAGCGTGCGTTTGCGTGCGTGCGGTGTGTTTTGCGTGTGACGTGTGTGCATGCGCACGATGGTAACGTGTAAGCAGATATCCGGTCCAGCTAGTTGCTCTGACCTAGTGGTAACCCTGGCCGTCCGTGCAAATGCTGCTTGAAGGACACATTCCATGCCTGGACTGCCCATGCTCTCTGCTTCTTCAGATACATTTTTTGCAAACTTTTACTTAGAGACTTGGCAACGGATTGCCAAAATTCCCGAATCAGATTGGATTTCACTGGAATCATTTAGAGGTCATGTGTTCCCCCTGTTCCTAATGAACAGAAGCTTGGAATAGCGAGTCTGTCATACAATGTACAGGCGCAGCACCTGCAAATGCACGTTCGCGTCACTGCTGGTGAAACGACCTCCACTACGGGGAGCTGAAGAGAGCCCCTCTAAGGATTGTACTTTGGCCTAATCTTCCACTCTGGCCAGACGTACGGGAAGAAGAGGTGAAAGTATCCACGCTTTACCCCATCACACGTCCGTGACCTACCAATCCAAACAGCTGTGGCGTTATCCATTCTTCGTTGTGTGAACAAGATGGGAAGCTAAGGAACTTATTTCAGCCGCCGTGCCGGGAGATCAAATCAAACCCGGCGACCTCTTGATTTGCAAGTCACCGTGCACTCATCCTTTCCACCACAGCAACATAACAACAACAGCAACAACAGGCGTTCGCCACTCGGTGGCGGTGACGTGGCCACGGCGCTTGAGCCAGGATATGTGCACTTTTGAGGCCATGTGAAGTGTCGAAGGTTTGCTGGCAGGAGGTCGCGGGACAGACCACAGGTGCCATGGGTTGTCTGACCGATAGTAATACTCGCACAAGGAGGTACATTTTGTTAACCATGAGCCATGTATTGCCTTGTAGCAATTTGGCCAACAGGTATCCTGTCGAGCAGGGTTAGCGTCGGAGCATCTCCTAGCTTGCTTTCCTTCCGTTGCACCTCTGGTTATCACGGTTGGCTATGTACGCTGCAAAATAAGTTCAACATATGTACATGCATAGCTAAAACGAATGAGTCACCTCGTGCGTTGAGTGGCACAGGCACTGTGGGTTATTTAAAGTATGCAGGGGAGGGCTGGTGCCATGGCCAGGAGTGCTTGAGTCACAGTCGTAAAGCTCAGAGATCAAATTCCAGTGGAAGGGCTCAATGGTTTAGCCCACCAGTTGATAAAAATGTGTGTCCTTTTTTAAGTAGGTAAAGTAACAATCCCAAAAGTAATTAGAATATTTTTTTTTTATAATTGTTTACCCAGGACAGCCTTAATTGGGTGTCAAGAGTATTTTCAGGAGGGTCCTGTTAAGTGTTCGCAGGAGGGGCGAAGATGTTAGCTACCTCGCTTGGTATAAAAGAGATCGTGGGTTCGACCCCGACGCTGGCGCCTGCTGTATATTTGGAGTTTGCATGTCTCTCCCTGTGGTCGCATGGATTTTTCCCCGGGTCCTTCGGTTTTTCCCTCCAGATTTAGAATCAACGTCACGCGTTTAGAGGATTGGGCTGCTCGAAATTTCCACGCAATAAGCCACATCGTTGAGCTATCATTTGTGGCCAGGTCGCTTCTTAAAAAAAGCTACATAGCTCAGTGGGTGGGCATTAGTAAAAAATAGGAAATAGCTTGTGCAGATCTTTTTTCAGCATTGGGATATTTTTCCATTAACAGTTATATATTTTTTGCATGTGTAAACATCGCCACTCGGGAGACAAAGGTGGCCGGGCGTGGTGCTGGCCACCCACCCCTTCAGGTACCGTTCTGGCCTTCATAGGTGCTCGCTAACAGCATTTGCCCCAACAGTCTGTCAAGGCTATACGGGGGATCTTTGCTTTTTTGTCTGTGTTAACAATAGTGAGGAGCTAATGCAATGTGGCTTATAGGAGTCACACAGAAACCGCAATTGAACACGATGACACAACAGCTTTGTAGTACCCGTGGGTGGATTCAAGGATAGGTCATTTTGCATCGTGCGGTCCACATGCCTGTCAGTTTCAGGATGCAGGGATTGTAAGAGAGATGGCCAATGCAAGTGTCCGAAAGAAAAGTCCAATGTTGCACACGTCACATTTACGACTTGAAACTTCGTATTCTTTGAGTCTTTCGGTAAAGTGACGTAGATAGAAATACAAATAAAAACATCACGTCGTTTCAATCGCAACGCAGGCAATCGTCATCAGGCGTTGCGATCGAAAAATCGTGATATTTTTATTTCTATCTACGTGACTTTACCGAAAGACCCAAAGAATATGAATTCCTGCAGTCACGAAAGCTTTAAGTCAAGATTTGCATCTTCGTGTAAACAAAAATAAAAAAAATCGCCGAAGAAGCCTCTCTGGAGTGTCAGGATATTATTTTTACAGACAGGTCTCTGCGCTGAACGTTTGTGCCAAATCCTGACTCGTTGCTCGAGTCCGTGGGAGGGCCCTGAGAATAGCCCACACGCATGGAGAGAATGTAAATGTCTCCATCTACACTTGCCAAATGCCATCACTATAAAATATGCACCGTGTACATGGGTGGAGCGACGCCACGGTGTTCACGGCGCCGAGCTATCAATCGGCAGCCTGAGTCCGTAATGCTTTGTTGTTTTCGCTGTGCTTTTATTTTCACAGAGGTCATCATAACCATTGCTGTCATCGGAGGAGTGATTGCCCTGTGCCTGCTCGCCACCATTATTTATGCCCTCGTTTTTGGGTACGTGTTGTCATTTATTCCCTGTTTTTTTTGGGCACGCGTGTTGTTTAAGAATTGAGGTTTGCATCGGTAGGGCGCTCGCTTAAATGCCTCGGCATCTCAATGAGCCTTAATCTCAACTCGGCCGTTCCAACGCCACACTGGAGCCTAGCAAAGGGGGCACGCGGTAGCAGCCGCCGCGTGGCATGAGGCTGCCGGTAGGTGGGCCGATGTTATCTCCCCCCAACCCCCATGAAGCAAGCAAATCCGCGAGCACGTTGCATATTGTTGTTGAACTTCTTTCGCACCGTACGTAGCCAACCGTGGCTAATCGGAGGTGCGGGGGGAAGGCCAACAAACTAAATCCAAAAACAAGTTCCAAAGAATGAGTTTTCTTAATCTTAGTTCTTTCGGTAAAGTCACGTTGAAGGGAAACAATAAAATATTAAAATATGTATAAAACAATAAAAATTCTCACGACGTTTCGACCATAACACAAACGGTCGTCATCAGGTGTGTCGGTTTGCATACATTTATTTAAAAAAAAATACACCTGATAACGACCGTTTGTGTTATGGTCAAAACGTGAGAATTTTTATTGTTTTATATATATTTATTATTTTATTGTTTCCCTTCAACGTGACTTTACCGAAAGAACTAAGGATATGAATTACTGCAGTCACGAAAGCTTTAAATCAAAATTTTATGAGTTTTCTATTTATTTTTTAAAGTGCATCGCTCTAGTGCCTTCCTGTGTATGTTGAACTTCTTTCGCACCGTACGTAGCCAACCGTGGCTCATCGGAGGTGCCAGAGGGGGGGTAAGAACAGCATCACGAAACACAAAAAAAAGCAGATTCGAGCCCTCGACTCTCTTTGCCTGTGTTGCCCAACAGCTGCGGCAAACGAAAGCAAGTGGACGTCTCCGACGGGAAGAACCGGAAGCCCAAGAAGGGCTCCGCCGAACTCATGTCCCCCTACATCGAGTTCCAGCCGAGGGGGTCGAAGGGCGACAGCCTGGAGAGCGTGCCGCTGCACACGCAGCCGGGCAGCGTGAACGGCGTGAACGGTTCGGCACACATGGGCTTGTGAGGTGGGGAGGCGGGCGGGAGGGGGGGGGGCACCACCACCACCACTCTGCAGGCACCCTCCCCTGGCCGTCCCACGGCTCCCCCCTCCATGTCCTGCACTCTTCTGTTGGGATGCTAGGTTTCACACTTCGCCCCCCCCCCTCCTCCCCGCCTGGTTTGCGCTGCTTCATGCAGGGCCACGCGGCCACCTGCCGTTTGGCGATCGTTGCGCGTGCACGGGGAGTGGTAGTGTGGCGGTTAGTGCGCTGCGCTACGAACCCCGGTGACCCGAGTTCGATTCCCGCTCACGGTCAACAAAGGTGACGGTTATCTGAACCGGTGTTGGGTCTACCCTAGGCTGACTCGGCCTCAAATGAGTAGCTGGTGCGGCGTGTAAACATCGCCGCTGGGGAGACAAAGGTGGCCGGGCGTGGTGCTGGCCACCCACCCCCTCGTGCGCTGTGCCAAGCCTTCCATAGGTGCTGCTCGCGAACAGCACTTGCCCCAGCAGTCTGTTAAAGGCTACACGGAGGAGGCCTTTGCCATGCGTATTATTTTTTTTTTAAATGTATCATTATTTTCTCCTGGAGGGGGGGTGGAGTCGGGGGGGGGGCAAGCTTATAGAATTCGTCGAGTAAATATCCTGTATATACTTTGGGGGGGGGGATGGGGACCGGAGTTTGTGGTTTCTGTTGTCATTATGAATCGGATGTTCGTCTGGCCTGGTACACGCAAGGCTGGGCAAATCATTGTGCGTGGAAACCGCTGGCAGGCTGCCGCTCAACTGGCAGCGCTCGGGCAAAGAGCGGAGCAAGGAAACCCCTTATGGCCTCAAATAGTTCTGGGGGGGGGGGGCGGGGGGGCGATAGAGAACATACAACAATGGAGCACATCAAAAATGATCAATGAACTCGTTCACGCTGAACATCCAATTAACGTGCGATCTCAATCTTGTCCGCATCGCTCACCTCGCGACGCGTCTCCGTTATCATTTACAATTCCTCGTATCTCATTGCATCTCTTATTTTTTCCATCAATATCACTTGGATTTTATGAATTGAAAAGGTGGTGGGAGTGGGGGGGGGGGGTTGGGGGAGCAAGCTGGGAGGTTGTGGGTATGATAGGTGGGGGTAGATGGGAAGGGTGGCTATCATTGGAGATCTCATTCAGATCTGTGAACCAAATGCAGGCATTCCCCAGCAGAGGGAAGAACTCATTTGGCGATGATGCTGCTGAATTTGCAGTTGGTGCACGAGACACAATTGGTTTAACACATTCGCCAAGACCACTGCCTTAAAAGAAGAAGAAAAAAAATATCCTTACGAGAGACGACGTGACGACGTTGACGGGCAATGGTCCTTCTTCAAAGCACGTGAGAGAGACTTTGTATACATTTAAAAAATTGGTTCGTTAAGGGGAACATTTGATTCTTTCAAGGAGCACCGTGCGGTTAGAAATGCTGACGCCTGATTAGCTGCTTAAGCGCGTCAAACACAACCCGCTCTTACATTCCTCTCGCTCGCGGATACGCCACTGCCAGGGCTTACGCCGATACGCAAATCGTATTTTTGGGTGGTTTAAGCATTGGATGCTGCTTCATTGTCGTTCGCATTATCGTAGAAAATAAGTTTCAATCTTTTGTAAAAAAAAAAAAAAATTCTTAGTGGGAAGCAAAAACATTTGATTTAATTTTAAAGCTTTTAAAAAAAATAAACTAAGATGCTGGGGATGCTGCCATAGTGGTGTAACGGTCAAGCACACTGGGGACTTGCAACTCAGAGGTTGCCCCAGGTTCAATCTGAAACGACGGTGCGAGTTTCTTCAAATCCCTCCTCCGCCTCCATCCGCCCAGCGGCGTTAAATGGGGAACGCCGCAGTCAAGCGATCGGCAGGTAGCATGCGGTGGTGGTAGCGGTGGTGGGGTAAAGTGTGGGTATCACCCGCCGATGCTGGAAACGTGGAAGGGAACTCTCGAGGGGCGTGGATTACATTTCCGTCAGCGGTGGAACGAGCGAGCAATTGCCTTTCGTGACCCTTTTTTTAATCAAAGGCAATAATTAATTTGAGTATTTTTAGTGAGAGCTATATTCGTCGGCGCTGATTTGGATTTGCCCGGAAATGTCGGTCGGCTCACCCCGTGTGTAGGAAGGTAAGAATACTTGGCGGTACACTGTAAAACATGGAATGGTCTGTGAGTACCCAACATGGAATGCAGTCGTATTGAGCATATCAAACTGATTTAGTCTACAGGGACTCCTCTACTCACGAACGAGTTAAGTTCCAGAGGTCTGTTCGTAAATCCATTTGTTCGTAAGTCCAACTTTACGTCTGTCGATTCCAAACGTGTTGTGCAACATGTACCTCAACACAGGGAATGGCTTTAAACGTTGTATAATCTCCTGTATATGTAGATTCCACTGGTTCTTCATGTGGCATCTACATGACATACAGGTTTGTTCGTATCTCTGAAAGTTCGTAAGTCAAATGTTCGTAAGTAGGGGAGTCCTTATACAGTGTATAAGTATAGCAGTAATACTGTGCGGTCTTAAACCAAAGAAAAGTGGTTAGCTTATGGTATTGCGTGGTTTTTGTACATAATCTTTTCGCCCAACTGGTTCGACGGGGATTTTCTACTGTACGTTTAAACGCTGTCAAGTTGAATGTCGCGCGCCTCGTGGGTGTAATTGTGATGTTCCGATTCGCGAGGCGGTGTGCAGGTCTGTGTAACAGTAGCAACGCTCACAGCATTAAAGTGACAATTTTCAATCATTGGTGGCCAAACGTTGTTGCTTTTCTGCGCATGTGTTTAATTTCATACACACAAACACACATGTGTTATCTGTGCCAGACTTGATTTTTTTCCCAAGGATTCTATCACGACCTCGCATGTGCGGTTACTGGACAAAGAATTCGGAAACTATGGTAGCGCGGCGCAACCTCCCACTCGCAGTAAGAGAACGGCCCACAGAAGCGGATACCACAGAGCTACTCCCGAGATCCCTTTCAGGAGGGGGTGCAGCCCTGTCCCGGAGAATATTTTTCATCCATAATAGAGGTTTTTGGGTTAGATCGCATAAATATAAATGCATACCTGTCAACTCCTTATCAGTGCCTACCTTATTACAGACCAATTCAGACCTTATTGGTCACCCCGTCTCCTTTATAAATGTCAACGTTCATCCTACAGAGTCCCATCACAAGGGAGAAACACAAACAAATAGACACATTTTTTTTGCCTGTATTTAAACGGCTGTACGCCGTATGGATCTGAAAACTCAATTTCCCTGTACAAGAATACGGATAAACCGTATGGGTTGACAGGTCTGCTAATGTGTCATTAAACCCGCCACAACCCGACACAGCCAATTAGTAAGGTTTGTCACGCAAACAAAACGTGCCAATTCGTTACTAGTACAGCACACCGGTGTGTTGGAGAGTAAATCCACAACATTTACATTTCGAGAACGACGTTTCGCCAGTAATTCTGACTAGCTTCAGGCGATAGCCAGATTTGTTATTTTCATCTTTCATCTTGTGCCGGTGAAACAAATATACTTAATTATTTAATTGGGAGTCTCAACACTTAAGGAGGGTCCTGAATTCTTCTGTTTTAAGTCAATGGGCCATATTCCTGAACCATAATTGTGTGTGACAGTAGGTTCAGTTTCAGTTGTCAGTTTATTTATTTTGGTATAGCCCTGTGAGCCATTCGGCTCTTGAATCGGGTGCAACCACAACAAACAAACAAAACAAAAACACGAACAAGAAAACAGCTTAAAGTGACTATGTGACTGTGCAAACAGAAAATCCAGGAAAAAAAACCAGCAAAAAATATTCCTGAAAAAAAAGCACCGTACACCAACGCTGTGTGCAAAAAAATCCCAGTGGGATGCAAGTCAAACAACAACAACCACAAGAAGACGTAGATTAAGGCCATCAGTCTAACTCCGTACTACAACAAAACAAACATGTCTAAACCAAAAAACTTTTCGAAATCACCAAAAAATAAAGCCATAATTGCAACGTAACAGTGATCATAGGGACTGTGCCCGAATTTTTACAATACACTACATAAATAACATGTAACACCAAATCCTAGAGCCATAGCTGGCTGCATGAGTTACTCCACAACAACAGAAGCATCAGTCGGAGTATCAAATTTTTCATTGCACCTTTAAGATCAGCACGCTAAATCAAAAATACAGATAATACTTTGCAGCGTCATCCGGAGCGAAACATTTTATTTTACGCCAATGAATAGCAGTGGCAGCTAGGGGTGTACAACTCCTCTAGAGCAGTTTTGAGAGAAGATCTCATTGGTAGCGATTTAAGTTGCAGTTTATTGGCAATAGCATTCCAGACCCTGGGGGCATCTTCCAGTTTTTGTATGGCAATAGGGAATATGAAGCTGGTAAATGAGCGAAGACCTGAGGTCAAATTTGTTCTTTGAAACAGAGAGGAGATCCAGCAGGTAGTCTGCGGATTATTTTTTTTAAGTACATCGTGAATAAATAAGATCTGGTGCACAAGCCGTCGAACATTAAGAGATGTTAAGTTTGACCCAATGTAGAGACCACAGTGGTGAGTCCTATATGGGCAGTTCAATGTATATCTTAAGGCCGAGCGATAGATGGAATCAAGCTTCTTCAGTACAGTACTTGGGGCTGATTTATACACGATGTCACAGTAGTCAAGTAGAGGCAGTATGGTAGCTTTTATCAATTCCAAACGGAACATTGGGGGGAAGCAGTGCTTGTGTCGATACAGAAAACCAATTTTTATTTTTGTCTTTTTACCAATATAATCAATGTGATCTTCAAAATTAAGTTTTGAATCCAGGATGACCCCATGATACGTATAGATCTTGACTTGCTCTATTTGATAATTATTTAAGGAATGTAATTGAGGAAAAGTAACTTCCTGTTTTAGTCCTGGTGAGAAGCATAGCACCTTGGTTTTGGAGGTATTCAGGACTAGTTTAAGAGCAACTAGCTGATGTTGTAGTTTGTTGAAATCACCCTGTAGCTTAGCAATCACGTCATCCGGAGAGCGGCCAGCAGTAATCAGTATCGTGTCATCTGCAAAAAGATTTAACCTGGAATGATCCAGGTCAGTGCCCAAGTCATTGACATGAAGAGAGAACAAAAGGGGGCCGAGGATGGAACCCTGTGGAACCCCTTTTGTTATCTTAACACTGTTTGACCTCCAACCATCTGTGAATACAGTTTGGGTGCGAGAAAAAAGGTAATTTTGTAACCATTTTACTGCGTTTTCGGAAAAAACCGAGGCAACTTAGTTTACTAAGCAGGGTGTTGTGGTCTACTGTATCAAAAGCTTT